TGTGCCATGATGCTATCTGTCCTGTCCTTCTCCTTTTGGGTCGGTTCTGTTATTTTTTCACTCCTGGTTAAACTACTTAAATCACGCAATCAAAAGTTTCCATGATCAAAAAAGCTAGATGGTGGTGATGGTTGCTCAATGTAGATGTAGTTAACTCTACTGAAATGTACACTTAAAAATAGTTAAATGGTAAATTTTATGTTATGTGTATTTTACCACACACATACAAAAACTAAACAGTAACATTAAACTTTCAGGGTCATTGTGAAGACTAGATAGCATATAATGTTCGTCACCAGTGTGTACTTAATAAATAGTATCTAATGCCACTGATGTTTTCAGCTTAGTTTAATGTATCTACACCTCCCAAATGACCCCAAAATAATTATTTTTTAAAGCATGACATGTGGAGCCAGATGACTGAGATTAAAACATAACTCTACAGCATATCAGCTGTAACCTTAGATCACTTAAATTCTCTGAGCCTCAAATTATATTTTTTAAATGGTTGTAAAATACACATGACATAAAATTAACCATTTTAATCATTTTAAACTGTACAATTCAGTGGCATTAAGTACATTTAAAATGTTGTGCAACCTTCACTACTATCTAATTCCAAAACTTCTTTGTCACCCATTCCTCCTCCCTCCAGCCCCTGGCAACCACTAATCTGCCTTCTGTCTCTATGGATTTTGCTATCCTGGTTGTCTCATTTAAATGGAATTGTACAATATATGGCCTTTTGTGTCTGGCTTCCTTCACTTAGTAAAAGTCTTCAAAGTTTATCATGTCGTAGCACGTGTCAGTATTCCATTCTTTTTTAGAGATGAATGATATTGCATTGCATAGAAAGATATACCACATTTTGTTTATCTATTTATCTCTTGAAGGCCATTGGCTTGTTTCTACCTTTTGGCTACTTTGAACAGAGCAGCTATGAACATTCTTGTGTAAGTTTTGTTTGAACAACTGTTTTCAATTATTTGGGGCATATACCTAGGAGTGGAATTGCTGGGTCATATGGTAATTCTACGTTTAACCTATTGAGAAATCCTCAGATTCCATTTTAGAGTGGGAATAATAATAGCACTTACCTGAACATTGTTGAGAAGATTTTTGAGAAAACTCATGTAAAGCACTCAGAATAGTATCTGGCACGTAGTAAACAGTCTATAATTGTTAGTTATGATTGGTTATGAATGGAAAGGTGGGTGTGTGGATAGATGGATGACTGGAAATCAAGTCAAATTCATTGTGTTTTCAAATGTATTTCATCAGGCAAGTTTCCGCATTACAGTAGGTTAGAGTTTAAATCTAGGGAAGAAGAGAATTTTCCTTTCATTTTATTTTCCCCGGTGACTTTTCTGAAAGGCTTCTTCCTTCTCTCCCCCCATCTTCTACCCTCGCACTCACCCAGACTTGCAGGGTCAGACGTTAAGTCCATAGACATAACTATTTTCTTAATTTTCCTTGGATATTGATGATTATTTCTAGCTTTTTGTCACTTCTCATAATTGGCGAGAAAGTGTGGATTTAAGATCAGCAGCTTTAAGCACAAATATTAAAGCACTTTTAAAATAAGTTCAGTTAGGGATGATTCACATAGTATTAATAAACCCTACTGTAAATTTTAACACCATATATGTTCATTTTATGAAGAAATAAAATTCCACATTGTTAACAATACAACTTTATATCTATAAAAGACACTAGAAAAGTGAGGTGTACATTCCCCCTCAATTTTCTCTTTTCTCCCAATTTCAAAATTTCCAGAAATTTTCAAGCTCAATATTTTAGATATTTTAATGAAATACATTTCCTGTGCTGCAAAGATATCGGACCCTCTGGGTTTCTCTGAGACTCACTGCTGTCTGCTCTCTTCCTTGGCATGTACAGTAAAGGGATCCGACATGTAGTTCCAGCTACTTTAGGCTCTAACAGATGAGTGCGTTGGTAGCGACTGCAGCATTTTCTTTTTACCTCTCAGTCAATCACTGTCACACTCTGACTTCTATACCTGTCTGTGTGCCTTGCTCCCTGAGAACAGGAGCCTCTCCCTGCTTCATCTTATCTTCAGCATCCGGTACTGGATGTTCACAGGTGCTGCTTCTAGTCACTGACATGCCCCATCTTTCTCACTCCTATTTATCTTCTGCTCCCACTCCTGAATTTCTGAGCACAATTCACCACCTTGAAAACATGACCAAACACAGTGGCAACAAAGAAATAAACTGATCCATATTTATGATGGTGTGTGGAAATAGGTGCAGTTTATGAAGTGTAAGTGGCCTTTTTGGAAGGCACTTGGGCAGTATCTATAAAGTATGAAAAGCATTTACCTTTTAATAGAACCACACTACTTCTAGAAATCTATCCTACAAATGAATTTGAGCAAGTACACAAGGCATATTTCAAAGAAGTTCTGGACAGAACCATTAGAGCAGTAAAAAATTACAAAGAACCAAATGTACTTTAATCAAGTCGTCGCATTTTCTGACAGTTCTAATTCTTAGGTAGTTCTTCCTTATTCTGTGTTGAAATCTGCTCACCAGCACTTCTGCTCGTGGGTCGAAAGGTTCCCTCCCTAAGGCTTCACAAAGCGAGTCTAATCTAAGGTCATTAATTTTGTCCCTGCGTGCATGTGGCCTCTGTAGGTCAAAGTTGGGATGGAGTGTCTGAAAACTTCGTATTACCAGGATTTGGGGAGGTCCAACTGAATAGGGCAGGAGTCTCAAAACAAGTCAGCCATGATCACAACCTCGCAGAGTTATAAAAGCATCAACAGCTATCAACTTATTTATTTGGCCACTCTCGTCACAGTGTTACTCATTGAGTGGAATTATTTACTGCACTGGTGGTACTTTCTTACTAAGCAAAGATCATGCAGGTTTCTTGAGCTTTCTTTAATATTGGCTTGATGTTTTTGCTTCACCTCCTACCTCTTATCTGTAGCAAGTGGCTGCCTACTCTTTGTTGAAATCACACACACACACACACACACACACACACACACACACACACACACATACACACACACACCAAAATGGGATAGCATTGCTGTGAAATGTTCTCATCCTACTAGTAGGGACCAGCAGGCTTAGATTTTTAGAAAGAATGTTGGAGTTATAGAAAAGACTCATAGCCTTCTGGTTAAAGATGGAGCTGTTCTCCCTGCACTGCAAGAACCAAACACCTTCCTTCCCCTCATGGCCGGCAAGTATTCTTCAGAAGAGGAAAAGAGGAATGAACTTCCCTACTTCCTGACTTATCTGCTAGAAGCATTGTTTGTGTTATGAATCATGGCACCTGTGTGTTGGCCAAGGGTTGGGAAGGGCAGGGCTGTGCTCATTTACCCAGAATAGCCGTCCACCCTTAAAAAAAAAAACTGTAGAAATATAAATTTTCATAAGGAGATTTACAGAGGAGACTCTTAACATCAGCAAGGGATTGTTCCAAAGACCTCTCAGGTGTCCTCATTCACTATATGCCACGTAGCGTCTCTCACAATTATGCTGTAAATTAGAGTAAGAAAGTTTTAAGTGATTCTGTTTCAGAACCTAAATCATTCTTGAATGCCAAAGTAAAGTTATTTATAAAATTTGTCATTTGAGGAGAATTAACTATGTTCAACGCTTTGCACCTGAGGTCCCAAAGAAGAAAAGAAAAGGAAAACTTGTGTCTCTTTTCATCTTTTGGTAGTTTAATCTCTCTCAAAGACCAGTTTCTGCACTGGGTGAAGCACTCACTACAACCACTTCCCAAGAACTTTTCCTTGTACCTATGTGACCCACATGGCGATCTATTGATATCAGAAATCCTAGACACTACCAAATTTGCTATTCCATGACAATTTATCCAAAACTTCTCTTTATGGCAAAAAAAAAAAAAAAAAAGTCACTTTCTTTTCATTTCTCTCTCTGGCACTATCAAGTGATTTCTTTTTATGAGTCATTTCTACTCCAACAAGAAACAAAGATTTTAATCACTGCGTGCAGGTTACTTAAAGGCTATCACTAGTAGAGAATAAACAGTTAAGTCATGCAAGATGTCAAGGTGCAACAGTAGGCCTAGCTCACTAACTGGTAAATGACTGACACAGGAAAAGCCAGTCTTTCAAGTCACATTCATTTACAATGGGTTTTGAGGGTAGTTAATGAAATAAGAAAGCTGTAAGTTTGAACCTGCAAATGTTAAGGACTAACAGTGTATTCTTTTGATAATGCCTATGTAGTGATCGTTTGTCAATTTTCTTGGAGAATTCCTCATCCTATGAATCTTGGTGGGCAGCAGGGACCACTTCCCACTACAGAAGCTAAAAATTACCAACACTCACTTTCCTAGGTCTCTAGACAGCTAAGGCTCAGATATGTGACTTCAGCTTGACCCGGCAGCTGGATTTGCTTAGGATTTTTGATGCTACAGCTGGAGATGGGGAAAATTCTTTACATAGTTCATTGTAAAGCAGTAGCAGCAATATCTAGTATCCAACCTTTGCCATTGGGATCAGTGTGGCATCCAGCATCCAGTGCTAGCGGTATCCTTGATGATGGCCGCAGCAGTGAGCATACAGCAACAACAATGAGGCTGTCTTTGCCTACCTGGCTCTGTGATGTGATTTGTGCATAGTTCTAGGTGCTGGGTCTCCCTTTGTGTCTGCTTATTTCCCAAACTTTGTTTCTACAGCCTTCTAGTGATTTTATAGTCTACCTGTGATATTATGATATACTAAGAAATAAATATTTGGTTTTCATTACCAGTTCCTGGCACAGAGCTTCTAAAATCCTTGGAATTTCCTGAGTGATAGGAGTGAGAGAAGCATCTTTTGTTATTTATAATAAGCCCCTCTCAACTATACTAGAGTTTATGCTAACAAAGTGACATTTGGCAGATGGGAGCCAGTTGCCAAAGGAAACAACCATGTGATTAGAGGCTTGGAACTTTCAGTCCCCACCTCTGGGTAAGGGAGAGGGCTAAAGATTGAGTTTCATCACCAATCATCAGTAATTTAATCAATCACGCCTATGTAATGGAACCGTCATTAAAACCCTAAACAAAGAGATTTGGAGAGCTTACATGTTGGTGAACATATCAAGGTGCTGGAAGGATGGCATACCCAGAGAGGGCGTGGAAGCTCCACATTCCTTCCCAGGTACCTTGCCATATGCATCTCTTCCATTTGGCTGTGCCTGAGCTATATCCTTTGCAGTGAACTGGTAATAGTAAGGAAAGTCATCTCCTGAGTTGTGTGAGCTGCTCTAGCAAATTATTGAACCTGAGAAAGGGAACATAGAAACCCTCAATGTATAATCAGAAGTGCTGGAAACCCAGACTTGCAATTGGCATCTGAAGTGGGGAGCAGTCTTGTGAGACTGAGCCCTTCATCTGTGGGGCAGTTAAGCATCAGAATTGCTTGTCATAGAAAACTCACATTTGGTGCCAGAAGTGTGAGTAGGAGTAGAGAAATAGTTTTCCTTTCACTACCCAGTGTCCTTTCAATAACATTTATTTACTGATATAATCGGCCAGAATCAGTTTCTGTCCCTTGCAACCAAGAACCTAACACACCTGAATAGCCAGGAAACTCTTTGAAACTTTATTTGGGGTCTTCCTGTTACAAGTAAACTCATTTCCTGTTCTGTGTTTGGGAGACATAGTGTAAGGAGAGCACAGAACCAGTAGACCTATTTTCTGGTCCAGACTCTTCCACTTCCTGGTTATGTGACCTGGGACAAATCCTTTCCCAGTTCTGAGCAACAGTTCTCTCACATGCACAGTGAACAGTCTGTACTAGACCATTAAAAGCTATGCTTTAGAATCCCTCCAGGAACTTCTTTTTCAACATCTGTTTTCATACAGATTCCTCATCCCCATTTCTGAAGAAACTAATTTAATAGATTTAGTAGATCCCTGACAAGTATACCAATGAAGTGGAGGCAGCAGCACCTTGGAGAATCATAAACTAAGGATCTCCAAGGTCCACTCCATCTCACATACTCTCACCTTCTAATGGAAGACAAAGACAGTTTTATTGCTGTATTCCTTGTGCCCAAAAGTTTCCTGGCACACAGGTGTTCAGAAAGTACTTGTATCTGAGTAAAGGGTAAACAGAAACTCTCTGCAACTTTTCCGTAAATCTAAAATTATTCCAAAAGAAAAAGCTTATTTAAAAGAATACTGGAAAGAAGGAAGGAGGGAAGGAGGAGGGAGCGGGCAGGAAGGAATTTTACCCACACCACATAAACTGTTACATCATTGCATGTTGAAAAGCACCTCCCACCACCCTTTTCTTCTGCACATACATCACACCCCCACCC